AGCTTTTTTGAGCGCCTTGTTCCAGGGTTTGGGGCTTCGGGTGGGTCTTAGAGTATTTAGGGCTTGCAGGGATTAGGGCACCACCGTATTTGCCGACCCCAAGGCCTGAGTTACTAAGCCCTTAGAGTGCTGTTATCACGAAAAGACCGAGGGAATAGCAGTCGTATTCTCATTACTACTGTTACCATGTTTATTGTAAATGTTCTTCTTCTTCTGACGATTGCTCTTATCATTAGTAAGAAGAAGCATCGCAATGCTTGTACGAATAGTATGAATATGATTCTGTTTATCATTGCTATTGCTATTGTTGGTTTTTCATTCAGGCCTAAGCAGCATTATCAAGGCTCAGATGTTCAGAATCAGATCGAAGAAAGCCGTCGGCTCCACCCCGGCATCAGCCTGCACTTGGGAGCTTCCGAAGATAGGAACCCTAATAGAGTACCCTAAATAGTCGGATCCTTATTATAAAGGGCCCCAAAATAAGGCACCCCTAATTTCGGAAACCTTTCGCCAATGCAAAGCGAGCTGTCGTTGAGAAGGATGGTTGGGGCCTGTACCCTGAACTCCTATACCCGAAAATCCGAAACCGAGACCGCTGAAACCCTGGAACCCTAAACCAAAAAACTCTAAAACCCTGGCACCCTGAACCAACACTAAAACTTCTTCACTTCGCAGCATAAGGGTTCTAGTCCCGCGCTAAATACAGGGTCTCAAAAGCTCGCGCTTAGCGCGGAGCAGACCAAAAGGAGACTTACCGCTCCAACATGCAAAGGTGAGACCGGTGGGTGCAGACAAAGGGAGGGAGCACACAGGTGCTCAACAACACAAGGCACCCGAGATCAGCTCGCCGAAAGGAGCTGATGTGGAAAGGCGAGGCGACGCGGCAGAGCGGAAGCGAGGCAGCCGGCAGAGAGGGCAGCAAGCGCCGAGGGGACGACCCCCGGCAAGCTGACGACCGAACCAAAGCCGAGCACGGAGACCGCCGAAGCGCCGACCGCAGCAGGGGCAACACGGCCCAGCAACTCCCAAAAGGCACCGGGGAGGGGCTGAGCGCTCCAAAGGACAGCGCCGAGCTGAAGCTGGCGAATGAGATGAAGGAAAGTCAACATCCGACGCAGAAAAAGGATGCGACTTGCTGCAGCTTGGCCAAATCCAGAAGGGCCACGTAGCCGTGGAAGGGCAGAGGGGCGCTCCTCACGACGAAGAAAGGCCGACAGGCGCCACACATCACCAGACCAAGGGTGACGCATGTCGAAAGCGCAAAAGAGGCGCCAACACCAATTCCAACTGCAAGGAAGACACCAGAGACCTGGCGCAAGTCCAGACCAGCGACAGGACGGGACTCGAAGGTCGCAGTCGTCAGGAAACTCATCGAAGAAAAAGGCCGAGAGTAGACAGGCCGAAACCTGAGCCGGCACCGCAAGAGGGGGAGGATGCGGGGAGAAAGGCGAGAGAGGCGAAGATGCCTCATTAGGGGGGTTCACACCATCGACGGCAGCATGTGCAACTGCAGCGAGGCCAACAGCGACTGGTGCACAACCGGTAGGAGGGACAGGGGTTCCCTCAGCCGGATCGGTAGCCCGTCGGAAAGGGACAACAGGTGAAGACCTTGCGCCTTCAGCAAATCCAGGGCCAGGCGCCAAGGCATGGAGCTCAGCAGCAAGCTCCTCTGCAGTGCAGTTTCGGTCTTCTTCAGCAGCCCGTCGCTGGGCTGGAGTGGCATTACATGGCCCAGTAAGACGAAAAACCGGCGCCCGAGCATGCCCTTGCTGGCCGCGACGCTTGGTGCCGGACCCATACACATAGACGGGCCCAACACAACAGCGTAAGCCATGCTCACACGCAGGCGAGTTGAGCAGGTGATAGCGGAGGCGCGCGGCGTTATGAAATTCAATGAGGCACCAGAGGCACACGGTGCCAAGTGTATACTGGGTACAGAGTGCGACACGCCCGTGCAGACGGTGAAGGTGCGCAGCAAGAGCATGGGCCGAAGGCAGGGTCACCCCACATTCGGGGCAAACATGTGGGGCCGCAACCCCAATGATCTTCTTAGGAGAAGGAGGCTGACGGCTATTCCAAGCGCGGTGGAGCGCGAGGAGCATCGTCCCAGAACGGCTGATCTTGCGACATGCAGCCAAAATGGCTTTGGAATGCCGGCGGATCCCTTCCAAGGTAGGCTCCCCAGTGCGTAGGTCTGGAAGGCCACAAGCAGGCCAGACCTTGCGGACGGCGTCAGCAAGGAGTGAGGACCACTCTCCACCGCGATCCCAACTGGCTTGAAAGAGGTCAAAAACCTCAGCCGAACGGCCTGACACAATGCGACAGAGAAGACGGACTCTAGCAATGAGAGTGGCACACTCGACATCAAGCACTCCCGTACACGCCCGCAGTTGAGCGGAGGCAACATGGTGGCCGGCATCCCAGGCTCCGACAAGTTGGCGCAGGCACTTATCAAGGAAACCTTGAAGAGGCCCCCACGCTCGCTCAGAATGCGCAAGCGTAGTGGCAAGGGAGGAGTAGGCCGCGGGGAGTGTACGCCCCTGGAGCCACACAAGTTTCAGGACCCAAGGTAGATGGTCAGAATGCACGAGGCCAGCAGCCTGGGTCCAAATGGCGTTGCCTCGGGATGCTGCGGCTTCGATGTCACGGCGGCCGGTATCCCGGCAACGTTGCGCAACCCCGAGGTACTTATACTCGGGTACAACCCGAATGCACCGCCCATCAGTGAGGTGGAGCTGAGGAACGGGCGACAGGAGTTCCTTCCTGGCCTCATTAGCCCCCGGTCCTTGGAGGTGGACTAGGGCCTCAGTCTTACCGGCTCCCAGGTTCACCCGAAAGCGAAAAGCCTCGAAGACTTGCAAGACAATCGAGCACAAACGCTGGAGTTTAGAGACGGCCCAGGTAGCCCGCAGGAAATCGACAAGCAGGCAAAGGTCATCTGCCCAAGCAATTTGAAGCGCGGTGTCAGGGTTCCCCAACGCATCTGAGGTGGATGCATGCACAATATCTTCAGCGCGGAGTGCGTGGTGAAGGCATTGAAGGATGACTGCAAAGAGCGCGCCAAAGAGAACATCGGCCAAACCGTCACCCGGCCGAGATCCACGGCTGGCAAGAATAGCCTGAGGCTGACCGACCAACCTCCAGAAGGAGCATTCAACGCAATCCCTGAGCAGGGCGATCTGGTCAGGCGGAACACCTAAACCAGAGAGGACCCCATCTCGGATGAGTCCGTGGACGTGTTCCGGCAGGCGCAGCCCTTGCAACGCTTCATCGAGGTCACGCCCCTCAAAGAGCAGAATATACGTCAGCCTCATAGTAAGCTGCTTGGATATCAACAAACAAGGCAGCCCATGATCGGTGGCGTACAGTGGCGAGGTCAACCGCCGAGCGAAAGACGCCCAGCGCAAGTCCAGTATCGACCCCACGCCGCCCGCCGAGCTGTGTGGGGAAGTAATGAGCAATGATTTCCTGACCGAGCGTAGCTCGCAACTGAGAGTGCCAAAGTTTCGCAACACCATTAAGCATGGCAATAGATCTGAAATTGGAGGGCAGGTGGGCCGGGCCTTTCTTATGAAGGGCTCCAACAATGGAGGCTTTGAAATGAAGGGGCTCAGCCTCTCCCCAAGCGAGGTGAAGCCAAATCGGCCATAACCATCGTCCAGCTTTGTCGGGGCAAGCTTTCCAGACCTCATTACGGATGTGGTCCGGCCCAGGGGCCTTGCCTCTCTTCTGGGAACGGCACATGTGTTCAACGTCCAGAAGGGAAGGGACCGCTGCCGGGCAAACTGGGCGGGCAGTGTCAGCCCATTTGGCAAAAGCGCTGTTGAGTTGCGCGCTCGACACGGGGCGTCCTCCTTCTTGTTGTTGGAACTGTAACTGCAGTTCAGCATCGATATTGAAGCCACTGGCGGCCCGCACATCGCGCTTCTGCTTAGCTCCTTTGGACGCCCATGAAAGCTTGGAGACAGCCTCAAGAGGGCGACCCGTGGCATGCCAGTGATCGATAGCTCCGACTAGCAGGGATTCAAAATAGGCCTGTTTGTCAATCCGGGCCTGGGCATGAGCCTGAGCTCGCAGTTTGAAGCAGACATGCGCAAAGTGGGCCACGAGCATCTGCACCTGGTGGCGTTCCCAGCGCCGAGCAGGAGCTGGTGGTGGCCGACCGTGCCAAGCATGAAAGGCAAGTGCACAGAGCTGCTGTCGCTGAAGAGAAGCGAGACGACGTAGCTCAGCTCTGGCATCACGAAGGGTGTCAAGGAGACCAGCAGCCGTATCTGAGAGGTAGGGTTGGCGCCGGCACAACGGAGGTCTCGCCGGTAGCAGTCGGACAGCTGCAGCGTGCGCAGTGCATAACTGACGGACTTTAGTGGAGCCAGATCCTGGACCGGAGCGGGCAAGCGTGTCCCAAACATGCTGCGAGACAAGGTCACCGCATGTGGGTGGGTAGGGACACCTTTGATGAACACGGCGTCCGGTCTTCCCCCATATCTCGACACATGCCGTAATGGGCATGTGATCTCGCGCCTCCCCGTTCAGGATGTCAAGTTCAGGGAATTGGCGATGGCCACGAACAACGACACCACCAGTGACAAGCAGGTGGTCAAGCCGTTGGACCTTACCGCCGGTATGCTGCCAGGTCCATGAAGGGCCGGAGTGGGTTTCAGCCCAAGTACCAGGGGCAGCAAGAGAGGTGTCATGCAGGCAGGCAAGAAGCAAGTCATCGGCCAAGCGAGCCGGTCGGAGGGACAGTAAGTCACCGACCAGAACCTCTTCTTCATCACGTCCCACAAAATCAGCATTTGCATCGATGCCTGCCAGGACGACTCCCCGATTACATGCTGGCAGAAGCTGGACCCGCAGGTCTTGCCAGAAGCGCCGAATTTCATGTTCCGGGCGTTCAGCGTGCGGTGCATGAGCCGCGACCAGGGTCACCGGAAAGTCCGAACGTTGGCATTGTACTAACAGCAGCCGCGGGCTGGCAAACCGGATGCGAAAGTCATCGAGATCAAGCTTGGGTGACACAACATCAGGTCTAACCCAGATCTCAACGCCGAACATACCCTTTTCTGCGCCGGAGCGGAAGCTGAGAAAACCATGTGAGGACCAACGTCCTGGCCGGCTACGGCACTCCTGTAAGAAGGCAACGTGTACATCTAGGGATTGGAGCTGTTGAGCAATGTAGATGCGACGCTGCCCATGACCCTCCCGGTTAAAGAAGGATTCAGCGACGTCCTTAATAGTCTGAATGTTGGCTTGCACAAGCCTAACACAAACGTGAGTTGACTTCGCCAGATCAGACTTCGCCTGAGATTCAGGCATAGCAGGAGGGTTGCTTGCTTCAGATGCGTCCCTGGGTGCCCCCCACGCCGGGGATTCCCAATAGAGGCCAGTAGGGCCCAGCTGCGCGGACGGAAGTAGCCAGAGAAACGGTGCGCATTGAGCAAGGGTGGTCCCAAACGTCCCACAGGCAGCCGGCACCACCCAGGGGAAGCATACCAAGGATGCATCGCACCATAACCGGCAAGGGCATCAACAATCTCATTAACCAGGGCACCGGCATGTCCGGGCACATGACGGAAATGGGTGGTGCAACGAGATTGGATTGCCTGCCAGAGTGAACGACAAACACGGGCGTGCGGCAGAGTAGCTGAAGCAAATCCCCCGGCAACCTGTAACGCCGCACTATTATCGACAGCAATCGTAACCCGAGCAGGCGCATGGCCAGTGTGTAGCTTCAAGTGATCCCACCAGGCAGTGAACCAGGCCGCAGCAGAAACAAGGGCGCTAAGCTCTCCCAGGTACGACCGGAGGTCCGTGGCAGTGGCAGTGGGAGTAGGGAGCCATGGGGTAGCAGGCAGGCTACCAGCGTCCCACCCCACACGAAACCATGTCTTTTTCCAGAGGGCCCACACCGCGAAGGCCCACCCTCCCGCTTGCAAGCCGCTGCCGTCAGTGGCGATAAACAGCTCATCAGGCACTCCGCCGGGCCAAGCCGAAAAACGGAGCCAGCCCGAGTGATAACAGGGAGGGAGCGTGGGAGGCATACTCACCAGCAAGTGCCTAGCCAAGTAATGAGCGGCCAGGCCGGCATAATGATGACCCGCCTCATTGAGATCTAATCTCCGATCAGGTACGGTCTTCGCGGCTGCATCCGCTACACGAGGGGCTTCGGAAGGGGCCCCCCAAGCTCGCCCATAGATGTCAAAGAGCAGAGCGGGCCACGACATCGCACCATGAGCAACACTCGATAAGACAAGGGTGTCACTGAAGGGGAAAGCCCCAAAGGATGCCCCTGCAAGAAGGAGAGCCCCGCCACTAGCCCAGAGCGACAAGGCATTCCGCGTCAGCAGAAGGCCAGCAAGGCACAACAGAAGACGCGGGGAGGGAGCTCTGCTACCAAAAGAGCCGCTATCGCCATCCCTAATCAGACCTTGTGTGCTGTAACGGGAGACCTCCAGCAACCGAAGAGGTGGTTGCGTGGGCAAAACATGTGCACGGTGCGGGTTAAGGCTCTCCGGGACAAGGTGGAGGCCAAGCAGATCACAACGGGCAGCCGGGATCCAACGGGCAACACTGTACCGGGCCAAAGAGGGTCGGAATGTGCAGTGTTCCGGGTCCCACACTTCATTTTGAACGGTATGAACCGTCAAGGGAACAGGATCACCGGCCGACCACGCAAACAAGAGGCCTGGCAGGCGGATCTGAAAGGGGCTACCCCAAAAGGCAAATTTACGGGCCTGATAGAAGGTATCCCAATAGCGGCCGCTGGGAGAGCGCAAGCGTGGAGCCCAGCCGGCACATGCCAGGGTCAGCACGTCCCCAGACCGAAGGAAAAGAGTTGGGGTATAGGAAGTGGCAGTGCCACACCAGATTTCCGGCGAGGCTAAAACACAAGCTAAATCAGGGACCGACCGTCGACACGCTCGAGTAAGGTCGGCAGCGTGACACGTGGCTGGCAGGATGGCGGCTCGAGTCGCAGGCGGGCACTGGAGCAGGACCACAACGAAGAGAGGATCCGAAGGGACGGGCACCCAATCCACTATGCGAGGATCTTGCGGTGGCCGGACTTGAGTAAAATCAGACCACGCAACAGCGGCATGACGCAACTCCTCAGGCGGACGATCCACGGGGCCAAAGAACGGCCCTGACACAGAGCCGGAGGGCTCCCAGAGGCGGTGACATTCCCCTGCAGGATAGGGTGTGTCAGACATCCTAACTGCCTCAACATGACCCTGCCCGGTGGCAGCGAGGCCAACCGCGAGGGTAAGGTGACGTGCACCGGCGGCCTCATTATGCCAGCCGAAAAACAAGCCAGCAATCAGAACCAAGGAGCTCGGGAAAGTTGGTAGAAAGCGGACAGAGAGAAAGAAAGCGAGGAGAGCCTGAACGCCGCCTGAAGGTAGGGCGCCCTGGGGAGCTTCTGACACAACGTCACCATTGCGAAGGACAGTGCCTTGGCGCAGTTCCTGGTGTGAAAGACCCAGGACTCGTGGCTGAGTGGAGATGGAGGGAACATCATTCCATAACTGCCAGGCGTCCGTCGCTGCAGTTACTGGGGCACACCAGCACTTACCGTCAGCTTCAATGACAACATTGACATATGTCGGGTCCTCGGACACCACAACTAAATGGGCATGGTCTTGGGCAATCCATGGTACCGGCACCCAGCGCCCAGGATAGTGTTGGCAGAAGTCCCCAGCAAACGTAAAGTCGAGGGCCCGCCACTGGGCCCCTTCGGGTGCATGTCCCCGGATTGCACGGACCCCGGGGCGCCAAAGTATAAAATTGGTCCGGACAGAGACCGAGAAATCGACTGCCCAGACAGCACAATGCCGAACCTGCGCATCAGTGTGGAAGCACGGGGGCTGGTAAGTAGGCTCGAAGGCTGCCGGAGGCAGGGCGACAACAAGATCACCCGAACGCCATCTGATAACGCCGTCATGAGGCGTCGACGCGGCCAAGGAACTAGGCGCCCGCAGGGAGAGCGCCTGTAATGGCTGAAGAAAACGGAGAGCCTCCCCCAACCATGACAGAGTGGAGGAGCAGGGGATCAAGACAGAGAAATGCCGATCCAAAGAGGACACCGCCAGGCACACGAGGCTGGGATCAGGGGGACGCGGCACGACCAACAAGGCTGGAAGGGCGGCTGTCGGCCAGACGGGCGCAACGTCGGCACCCCAGGCCGGCTCACAGGCCTGCATCAATGTGTTAAGCTCAGTAACGGAATTGGAGGTATACAGACGACCCGCCTCCCGAGGCCCTGTGAAAGGACTAAGCAAAACAATATCCAATTCAGGTCGGGCCGAAAGATCAAGAAGGTCGCCTTCACCTGGACGTGCGCGCCATGGATACAGCCCAACTCGGATGGGCGGATCGAGGAGCTCGTAAGAAGGCACCATGCTAGACCCTAGCACAACCCCGAGGGCTAGCCCTAACCACCAGGGAGCGCGACCAACCGAAACCGCGAGAGCGCCAAGCAGAACCGTGGAGCCAGGCGAGGCAGAGGTCAGAGGTTGATGCCAGGTGTGCTGGGCCCGCTGCGGCTGAGCATCATCTAGACTGGGAGGCTGTGTGCTGAAGGGGTCCCAAACAAGATCAGCATTCGGGGCAATAACCAAGACGTCCCCGTCCCGCAACGTGCTACCAGCACGCACATAACGAATGGCAGGTAACAGTTGCCATCCGAAGGGGATGCGATGGGTGTTGCAGCCCGCTAGGAAGACCCCCACCGGTGTCTGCTCTGGCGGCAGGAGAAAGAGCACATGCGCTTCAGAAATTGAGGTGCGGGACATTAGATGCAGGTCCGACAGGTCACCCGTAAGGACTGGTACCCAGGAGCCCGTTAGGGTCTCGCCACCTAAGCTTCGAAATGTGGGGCCTAGAGGATCCCAATACGCATTGTCGCGTACATACACCAGCTGGCCAAAACGGCTGGAGGTTGTCCACAGGGTGACGGGGCCGCCTGTGTCGAACCTGAAAGACAACGACCAGCTGGCGACCTGCCGCGCCCTATCAAGGGATGGGTAGTGCAGAGCAGGGAACCGTGTAGAACCGGGTTGAGTTGAGTCAGGCAGAAAGCCAAACGCATCGCCGTTGCGAAGGCGGATGTGCGTGTGCATGTGAGCGGCGCGGATGGAAGGAGGCGGAATGACAACCCAAAACCGTGTGCTGGGAATGAGGCGGGCGGCCAGCCGCTGAATGTCCTCGAGCGACGCATCAACCGACGCTAAGGCAACGGCTGTGCCACTAAGGGTGTGGAAGACTACACTAGCCATCCCGAAAGGAGCAACCGGGGCAAGCGTAACTTGGGCGAACGGAAACGCCGCACGGACAGGGAAGAAGCGGGTTGCCCAGGCACCACAGTGTCGGGACCCAACAGCTTCAAACAGGGACCATGGTCCTTCCAACCGAGCAAAATGAAATTCACTCCAACCCCTTAAGGGACAGAGGACTCGGGTAGTAAGGGGCCTTGGACCTGGAAAGCAGCGGGCAAAACAAAGCTGACCGTCAGTACAATCAGGCTGCCACCCCGCCTGCAGGACATAAGGTTCACCACTGCTGAAATCGACTCGCGCAGGAAAATGGCGGGGAGAGCTGTCCCGATCACGGGAGCGACTCCGCCGAGGCGGCATCCTGGTGCGAATGGTGCGAGCTTCCGAAGAGTCAACACTGGAACATCGGCCCGAGGAGCCGGAGGACACAGCCCAGGCTGGCCCACTGAAACCATACACAAGGAGCAGAAGTCTGGCCAGCGCAGGTAACCGACGACCAAACAGTCCAGCTGCAAGGGAATGAACCCACCAATCGCCGTCGCGTACACTGGCTTCCTCAGTAGCCTGACTGGAGGCGGGGCGGAGGGAAAACCCTTGAATGTAAAGGTCATGTGCAGCGCCTCTGTCAATCTCGACACACCTGGTGGAGCCACGAGACTGAATGATATTCACACGCCCAAAAGCAGTGGCTTGCTCAACAAGCCAGGGTGGCGTCCCTAGGTGTCCGTGGCAGGGCGCCCAACGGTGGACTCCCAAGGCCTCCTCGTGTTGGCAAACGGTGGCCTCTGCAGCATTCCACCGCGCTTGGTGTCGGAGGAGAGCGACCCGAGTGGGTCTGCTGGGTGACCACAGCAGCACACAGGAGGCGTGAGCGACAATAAAGTCAGAATGCCATGCTGAGGCGGCATGGGCAGCTCCCCAGGTCAAAAAGACGGGCGTCTCGCGTGGCCCCGCTGAAGGGTCCGACTGGAAAAGCCGGACTGCTATCAAGTCACCTGAGCGCAAAGCAAGCACGGGTCTGGTGTCCCGGGTTGACGCTGCCAGTCCGGGCGAGAGGTGTGCACTTACCCGGCGGCCAAAGCGAAGCTGCAAGGCATGGGTTAAATCGCGGGGGGTGAGAAAGGAGGGCACGACAACACAAAGAAGCTGCCCTAGACCCGAAACCAGTATGCATGCGAGCCTCCCTCCTGGTCTCGGGACCAGAACATGCGAACCATCGGACACCAACCCGGATTCAGCAAACCCCCGATGCCACGACGTCAGGGTGTGATGTGCATCCGCGATGACATCCTCAAAGGCATTACTGGGGTCAACTTCAACGCGTTGCCAGGGCGCAAAGGGATTGGCCAAAGTGAGGGTGACTCGGTTAACAGTGGCAGCAGGGATAGCCGGGGTTGCCAAGGGGGCTGCAGGTGCCCGTTGAATCATGGCCGCCGCTGACGGTAGGAAAAACAGAGCACCGGCCCCGAGGCTCGAAGACTGGCCACCATGCATGAGGCCAACAGCAAGGACAAGCAAGAACTGGCGTGCCATGGGCAGCTGTGAGAAAGCAAATGCAGTTCCCAACCACCAACCTAGGCGACAGGAGGCAGTCGCACAGGCACCGCGAGCGAATTCTCCGAAAATCACATCCCCGTTGCGGAGTTCGCAAGCTTGCTCAATGGCATATGACGGGACCCCGCCAACCTGAACCGTCACAGGGCAGAACCTCAGCTGAGCAGCGAGGCTGTCACGAGACACAACACGATCGACCGATCTGCACAACCGCCCTTCAGGAGTAGCCGCTACAACATTAACCTTAGCGGCAACCTCGTTAACCGCCATAAGCTGCAGGGCACGAGCACTCGTCCACTGGACCGGCGTCCAAAAGCCCGGAAATTGGTGTCTAAAGTCCCCCGAAAATGAAAATGCCTCAGGACACCAAGATTCGCCAGCCGGAATGCTCGTGAGCAGTGGCGGTTTCTCAGGGCGGAGCAAGTGAACCGAAATCGGAAACATAAGCTGGAACCCTACAGCCCATGGAGCGTGGTGTGCCGCGAGTCCGTCCTGGAGGTGCCAGGGCTCCACAAACTCTAACGGCTCATCAGGGTCAGCTGGGGGATCATGGATATAAACGACGTCCCCGTTGCGAAACCGAAAAGCTGCTGGCGGGATATCAAAATATTCGCAGACCGCCAAACCGTGGGGAAGTGAGAGCCCGCCAACTTCACTGTTGATATGGCGGGCAACAAAGGAAGTCAGCCACGCAACTGTCATAGTTCGAGGCGTGAGTGTGGCCCGATGGTGACCTCCCCAGACAAGCATAATGGTGACAAGGGCAGGATCATGTCCGACGGGGACGACGGAAAGTTCATTGAATGCAGGCCCTGGCCAGACAGGAAAGTAGTCTGCTGCCCAACCCGGATCATCATTGCGAAACTGGGCCCAGGCCTGAGTGTGGCAGGTGTCCTGGGAGGCTGTAAAGGGTGGAAAAACCCCTAAAAAGGGGCTGTGCAGGACAACTTCAACCGGGTCCTCACTCGTAATGCCAGAGAACCGCCGGTTAACCGGATCAATACCCCAAGGGAAGCCACCTGGCCTATGCATACCTAGAGCCTCGGCGCGCCAGAGACAGAGAGCGAGCATGGCAGGCGCCACACCAGGTGACCTGGCGGATGTGACAACAAGCCAAACCCACAAACCTGCGGCCCTGAATGCAGCAGAAGTTGATCCGGGGACCGTTGCTGCATCATCGGTGCCACCCCCCAAGGTTTCTGCGGTGGCAGCTTGCACATCCTGATGGGAGGGTAGCTGGCGGGATGGGCGGCGCCCCGCCGCCAGACAATCACCGTTGCGAAATTGAACAACAGCGGTTTCTTCGTGAACATCCGGAGGGCGGAGATCATATTCCTGGCCGTCAAGATGAAGCGCCTGGAGCGCCGCACAGGCGACACACGCAGGAAGGCAGCATGGAAGGAAGCGTCCGTCGATGACGACACCCACCGCGACATTGCCCGGCGCCTGGGGGCAGCCAATTAGATGCACAGCTGTGGCATCGGGCTGCGGCATGAGCAAGACCATCCCGGCCCAACCACGGCTGCGTGCATGTCCTTGAAACAGGACAAAGGGATTAAGCTCAGGCCCAGCAGAATATTCCACAATGTCACATTGCTGGCGGGCAGTGAAGGGGTTGTGGATACAAAAGGGCGTGCCAAGTGGGATGGCAGCGGCAAATGTGCGTAGGCCGCGTTGGAGTCCAAGCAAATCGGCTTGGACCCGTCGAACAACGTCCTCATCGGCAGCCGGCTCCCGGTCGAGAGTGGAGGGCCAAAGTCCGAGAGCATAGTCCTCAAGAGGGCGGGCCGCACGAAGATAACGCAAACGAGGTTGAAAGGGGGCATTCACCGGCTCCGGTGGAGGAGGTCCAGCTGGAATGGTGAAAGGGACTGGTGCACCAGAAGCGGCAGACATGTTCTCAGCTTGGACAGGAGGGGGACCTTCTTCATCAGACTGCTCCTCGTCCGAACAATCCGGCGGGGGGAAAATAATGGAGCCATCACTGACAGTTGCAAGAGCAAGAAAGCTCCCGGACGTAACCCCTCTAAAACCAAGAAGTGCCCCGACTAAGACCCAACTAACAGAGGACGGAAGAGCCAGCTTGTGGCTGCCAGAAGTATCCCCGATATCAAGCAGATCGACATGCGGGGCCGAGGCGGCAGCGCAAGCGCTCTGGGAGGAAAGCCTCAAAACGGAGGGGGAGTCTCCAACGGGCTCAGCATCGGGCTCGGCAAGCCCAGCCCAGAGTCGTGACGTATGGAAAGAGAGTTCACGGGACAGCAGATGAACCCGTGAAACAGTAGCGTGGTCGAGACCAGTGCCATTACCTGAGAGATCAGTCTGAACACCTTGATCAACCAGGGGAGTTTGCAAGACGCCAGCAGCAAGTTGATTGCCACTCCCATCAAGCCGGATGGCCGGTTCCAATGCAGGGCCACGACTGGGGACATGTCGGAAGAAGGGGCTATCAATGACAAGCGGGTCAGGGTTCCAGGGATCATCATCTCCCGGTATTCGTGCTAGGGCACCGATGATGATCTGAATGACAGCTCCAGACGGGAAATCAGGCAAGGGAGCTCCAGGCGGATAAAACTGGCCTGCAAAGGAAAGAGCTGGACAACGGTCTGGCAAGGGTCCCCCTGGGAACAGGGCCCGGATGTGAGCGGAGACAACATCCCAATGGAAAGGGGTATGCCCAAAAGTAACCACAGCCGCATCTCCCCAGTGCAGCAGCCAGAATCTAGCAGTAGGATGTGTAGTGGGCACAATCGGCACGAAGAGAACGTGCTGCACAGTCCCGCCGGGTGAGGAGAGAGTAGACCGGAACTCACCGGGGTCGTCAATGTGGTGTAAACGGCACATCAATTCACGAAGCCAGCGTGTTGGGTAGCCCTGTGGCCGCCAAGGCAGGTCGACAGGCACAGGGACATTGAGTGTCCAGATCCGCATGGTAGTAGGGGCCGGCGGGGGAACTTCATCAACTGTAGCCAAAGCAGTGCTATAAGGCGGATGCATAGCAGCTGACTGTCCCCCAAGTAGGAGCAGGGTCAGACCACCGAGAATAGCAGGGGAGCAAGCTCTCGCCGCTACAACATGAAGGACGCCGTCAACAAGTCGGCCAACCAACCCTGGGAGAGCACGGCCAATGAGTGCCCTAGCTCCTTGGGGGCTCGGTGACATATGACGCACCTCAGCCGATGGCTCGACACTGTGCACAACTCCATCAGGTTCAATGGCACAAAAGAAGAAAGAGCAGTGAGAGGTAAAGTGTTGGACCACGGGCCGAAGCAACTCACACCCAATGGAATCCCTGAGGATCCACCAAATTGGTGGAGATGGCGGGGTAACCAAAATGTCCAATACATGCGGATTCGAGTCAAAGGCAACATGGAGCCCATATTCGCAGTCAGGCAAAAAGGCTCCAAGATATGCGCTAAGATGCAGGTCGAGGTGACGCGCATGAACAC